CCCCCCCCCCCACACCAGAGCGTACATATCATGGAATCAATGCATTCCACTTTAAAATAATAATTTAAAAATCGAAATGCAACTGGCTCCTCCGGTTTTGGAAACGGACTGTGGACCCACATTGATTACCGCTCTCCAGTCAATTTACACCTTCCATAACCTGTACACCTTGAACAAAGTGAGATAATGCTTCTCAGAACTTAATGTATCTTGAGAATAGTCTTACTTTCCAATTACTAAAAAAAAAAAAAAGGAGGGGGAAGGTGACCTAAAGACACTGTTTTGTGCTACAGACAGTTCCTTAACGATACAACATACCTTTCCACGTGGAAAGGCAGAAGGGCCCATCTCGGGCTAAAATCAAATTGTCACAGTCTGGCAAACAGGGAGCTGTAGAAGGGGAAGCAGACTGATGTAGCCGGCTCCATGCTTCCTCTCACCCAGAAATGGAGCAGTCTTCTTCAACGTGGTGAAAGCTACGTAGTTTACATGTGAAACGGCTTTAACGATAAAAAGGCGGCGCACGGTACATTCTGATCAAAGTGCTGGTGCCATTTTTCTAAGCCACCATGGTAGTATACAGTAGGTAATCAATCACTGAATACACTCCTTGAAAAAATGCACTTATTTTGTTCACCTACCACTGGTTTCCCTAACCCACTGGTCCTCAAAGTGTGGTCCCTGGACCAGGAGCAACAGGAATGCAAATGCTTTGGGGCCTCAGCCCAGATCTGCTGTGTGTTTTATCAATCTCCCCCTCCCACCAGCAGGAAACCAGGGTGCGCGTGCCTAACACGGGGGAGAACCACTGACCTGACCTGTTTTTACCAAAGCCCTGTGCTCTGCAGTCAGCGATTTGAAAACCAGATCAAGTTTAACAGAGAAAATCTTGATTTTTAACGATTACACGCATAGATCTACTAGCAGAAATTAAAGAAAAAGTAATCTATTTACACTTTCCTCTGTATTGCATCCCATGCATACTTGAACTTTTTTTTTCTTTTGAAGAAACAAGTATCTTGCAGTAAACTACAGGCGACTTGATGGAACATACTATACTGAAAGGATTA